ACAGCTTCTCTTGTTTCATTTGGCTTTACCATAGGGTTTTCAAGGTAAGAAAAAGTCTGCACAGTACTACCCAGAGTTAGCTTGAGAATCACTGCTATGGGCTGTGAAAGATCTTCTGCCAATGTCACCTTCAGTTACTGCTGCAGCCCAGCAGCTGCCCTTCAGGAGTTTCTCCGCCCCCATCACCATTAGAGAGAGCTATTCTCTTCTGCTGATGTGACTGTTACTCCAGACAGGGGTGGATGCATCGCAGTCTGGTGCCTCAGCTTGACCCTTCTGCCTTGGGTGACTTTGCTAGGAGACCAATCTAGTGAGAGAAAGTCTTGCTGCCTGGAGCATTGCTCTTAACTTCTCTGACACTCTCAGACCCCCTTACCAGGAAGGGGCTCTTTTTAGGTAGGTTGTAGCTAAAGTTGGTAAAAGCATCTCATGCCACTTGAACCTCAAGTGACAAAACTGAATTTATGAGCACCCCCAGACTATGAACTTGCTCTTCTGGGGAGAGTACAACCTCATTTAGAGCTGACTGAATGCCACTTAACTGGACAGATAGACCACTTTCTAACAGAATCTCTATCTTCCCTGGATTGAATTTCAGTATATTGGTCTCCATCCAGCCTGTTACCAAGGCCAAGCACCTATTCAGGATAGCTGCTGCCTCCCCCGTGTTTGATGAAAAGAAGATGCAAAGCCATCTGTCTCTCCCAGTGTTTCCACACTGATGTTAAAACATGGGATGCAAAACAGAGGATCACCACCACAGAGTTCCCTGGATCCAGAAAGGCATATCTGGATTCAGCCCCTCCACTCCATGAAATGTATACAGATCAGCAGTCTGTATACTGTAAGCATAAATCCTGTACATATGTTGAGATGCATGCCATCCAAAACAGTATGGATACAATTGAATTTATCCTCAAAGGGCCATGCAAATTGGTCTTTTCCATTCAAAACCAGGGAAGTTGTTTTAGTTCTAAACTGGTTTCTGATATCAATACTGGACTAGATGAGGGCAAACAAATTCTGGTGAAGGCACTCCTGGGTGGTCAAAAGACAGACTGGGGAGGCAGGATTCAGTCTGGGCTGAGTGAGCTTACATTTTCCTTGCAGACTCAGGCTTTATGACCCATAAAGCCTTATATTGCTTGGGTCCATACTGCCCGAATGAACGCTTCTTCTTCCATGCAAGCCAGGCCAGGCCTTAATGTCTTATGAAGAAGCTCTTGTTTGAAGACGAGCAGTGCAACGGAGGGCCTTCTTGGTGGCTGCTCCCACAAACTGTCAAGGGAGCCCGGGGAGGCGAAGTTTGCTCCCTCTCTGCTGTTCCATCATTGGCAGGCAAGGCTCGTTTTCCTGCAGCTGGGCTTTGGTGTGTACATGGTTCTCTTGGGTTGGATGTTGTTTCAATTTTGGGATCATTCTGTATTGAATTGTATTTTAATGCATTTGTTTTATTATTGTTTCTAATAAAGTTTATGATCATAAGCTACCCTGAGTGCCATTTTTCTCTTGATATGAAACAAGGCAAACACATAAATGGAAGAGCAAATGTTACCATTTGAAAAAACATAAAATCACATACAAAAACTTTTCAACACCGTAATCAAATGAAAAATGTGGTGTAAAGTGGAGAAAGCTATACTTAGGCACCCATAGCTTAAAATGCGTAGTGGTCCAGATTGTCAAATGCATTTTGATCAAACGATCTCCTTTAGTGGCAAATAGAAATGGTGTATAAATTGGCTCTTCCAGGGTGGAGTATTCCTGTCTTGGTTTGATCCACCTGGTCCTCAGGGTCCTGGAAAATGACACTTTCCGACAGTGACAAGCCAGCTGGGCAAGGCAGCACGTGTCCTAACAAAGGATTTCTTCCTCCTCCTCATCCTCGGGGATCACCATCCCCTGATAATGAGGAACAAGGGCATGCAAGCAAAGAGGGGGAGTGGCAAACCATTGCCCAGTCTTGCTCCCTGGCAGTGGCAACTGGGCCCAGGTGGGGAAAGGGCAGAATGGCTGGAGGAGGAGACTGTGGCTGCTGGTGGGTTTGGGCCTGGAGGTTCCTGAACCTGCCAACCACCCACACAATTAGAAAGCTGCTTGAAGGGAGAGAAAGATCCTGCTTCCTGTAAAGGTTTTCACTGTTGTTGAAACTGTGACATTGAATGAGTATGGATTTGTAGGCCTCAGATTTCAAAGGACACCTTACCTCATAGGTATGGAGACAAGTAGAAAATTCTCTGCCAAAGCTGGATGGATTTGGTCCACTGATTCCTTTGGGTATTTTATTGTATTAAGCAGGCAGTTTGCTTATAGGGACATCAAGCAAATGCATCTTTGTAAGGCAAAAACATGGTTTTCCAAGTGCTAACCATGTATCTGAATATTCGAAGGCCTTGATTTCTCAGCCAGTCTATACATTTTCGATATACCCATGAGATTACGGCTTCATTCATCACAGGCTGTACCTATTGAGGAAGAATTCCTCAATTCCTCCTCCTCAATCTGATTTTTCAACAAGGACCTATTTTCCCCCTACAGTGTTAGCTGCTGCACGAACCTTCCACTTGTCACCGCGGCTGCATTATTGAAGGAGTTAATTGGGTAACATCTCACTCACCTACCCGGAGTTCGAACCCCTTGCTGAAGCTCAGCTGTAGCTCACACACCCTCCTAATTACATTTATTCACAGAAATCAAAAGGAGAGGGACGCAGTTGAGTAAAGGTCACATTAATAATACAGGCTGAAAGAAAGCCTGTGGATATATATTTTTCATTAAAGCCACATTTGACTGAAGGGGCAATTCTTTTAGGATTGGCAGTATTTCTCCAGGAGGCTGGAGAGGTGGCAGAGGGGAAGTGGTGTGAGGGGTGCGGGGAGAGAAGCACCCTCGTCATTGTTTGTTGTCTGCTCCAACGCTGAAGAAATAACAAGGGAAGTTAATCATGTTTCTCACAGCGAGAACTGCCAGAGATCACAGACTTCAAACCAGGGGTCTTTGCGCTTGCCGCAAGACTGAGAGGGTGTACAGACTCTTGGAGTTCTGTTTACATTCAGGGCCTCCTGAGAGAAAGATAGATGACTTGAAGACATGGGTCTCATGTCTTGCCAGGCCTGATGGAAAGCAGAGATCTTTGGTTAATCTGCAGCCAGAACTACAGATCCATATTTGTTTCATTTATGTGCTGATTTCTGACACATGATATTCCCTGTGGGCACCTAGGCGTGCAAGCACACATGGGCACGCACGCACGCACACACACCGGACTTGTGTGCACCACACAGGCACTGCTCACTCAGACTGGGTTAGTTTATTCAGCATCAACATTCCTCCTGCAAGCTTTTTCATACAGGCAGTGAAGCCCAGCATCTTGTAGCTGCCTCCTCTCTGTGAATCCAGTGGTCAAAAAATTATCTCCCATCAGGCTGCAGGTCTGTGCTGGTTTACCTGGGGATGAGTATTGCTGGATTCAGACGACTGCACTATAGGGCACATGGCAAGGAAAATGGAAATACAAGAAGTGAAGTGATTCCTGCCTTCAGTGTTCTCAATACTGTGCTGCTGGATTTGTTCTAATTTTTGTCTGAGTATTGAGTGGAACTGGGGCACGCTGCAAAGAAATGTAGTCTGGTCCCACTGATACACTCCTGGGCCAGTCACTCCAGTGAACAGCTGTTTCTGAATCTCAAAAAGTCATTTGATTTTGGTGGCACTGTACACAAAGTCCACAGGACAACAGGTCGCCTTTGAAATAAACTGCAACCCTGATGTCATAGTTCAAACCTAGAGGTTATTTAGGGATAAAATTTGAAGCAGAAACCAGGATGAACCTAAATGCCTTTTACCTACCCTTTCAGATAAGCCATTTCATATAATTCAAGTTGCACCAGCAAAATTCTGTTTTCTTTTACAAAAGGCAAACACCAATCATAGATACAGACAGCCCTGATACAAATGCAGCACGGATATGCCCAGAGTTAACTCAATGTACACACTATTGGTCCACAAGGTTTCATTATGCCTATCAATGGATAACCATGATAACCATGCCGTCTAGGAAGGCCTTGGCAGTTATAGGTGGCCTATAAATGTGTGTGTGTGTGTGTGTGTGTGTGTGTGTGTGTATGTATGTATGTATGAATGAATGAATGAATGAATGAATGAATGAATGAATGAATAAATAAATAAATAAATAAATAAATGGTATTGATGATTTATGGCACATTCCTATGGTCCATAAGCGGTGTCTAGATGGCCATAGAATTTTATTTTGGGGGACCTTTTGGTCCAAAAATCACTGTGATCTTGTAGCTGGAGATCCACGCTTGGAACCCACTCCCTGTCTTGCAGCTTGTGCAGAAAGCAAAGCTCTGGGTGTTTCTTGGAGGTCATAAGGGCGACCCTGGGGATGGGGCTTAGGAATCATTCAGCAGGGAGGGCAGGAGACTAGCACCATCAAGTTATGACATGTCCTGGTGGTGTCTCAATCTCCCTCCCTCCTGGGAAGGGCTAATGTTGTCCCTACCTTCAAGAAAGGGAAATAAGAAGAACCTGGGAACTACAGACCAGTCAGTCTGACACTGATCCCTGGGACAATTCGGGAGCAGATTGTAAAGCAGTCAGTTTGCAAACACCTTGAAAGCAATGTAGTGATTACTAGAAGCCAACATGGATTTGTCAAGAAATCCTACCAGACTAATTGGATTTTGTTTTTTGATTGGGCAATCTCCCTGATGGACTGTGGGAATGCTGTGGACATAATATATCTTGACTTTAGCACAGTTTTCTGACAGTCTGTGAAGTATAGACGGAACAGATTTAATGAAATCTATACATCTCTGCCTGTAGCACATGATGTGGATTCCATCTCTCAAGCATGCGTCTTCTCCCAGGAGCCTGATTCTGTGCCTACCTTTCATTCTGCAGCCAGGGTTAGGTAGACTATCGCAAGCTGTCCATAATCTAGCTTGCTGTCTTACTTTCTCTGTCCACCTTCACAGAAGAGGACCCACGGACCCCTGCAAATGTGGCCTCCTTGCTCAAGACATTGCTCAGAAGGTTTCCACGCTTGCTGCTGCTACTCGCACACCATCCCCTGGACCTGGAATTCACCTCCGGGAACAGCCTTCTTGTGGCAGTGGTGGTAATCAAAGGGCTTCTCTATGAGCACTGCAAGCCATGTCCATGTGAGAGAGGTGTCACGCATGGACTTGCTGGAATGACTGCACCAAACTGGCTGGAGCTGGAAAATCTGTGGGCCCATCAGCCTTCATGATACCACACCAATTGGTCCCCATGTAATCCACACTTGCCCTCCCTTTTGGAAGCAGGTGGGTGGGGAGGAAAGGGGGCTCTGCTTCTGTTCTGCCCTGCCTCCAGCTCCATGCTTTGGGGGTCCCCACATTCCTCCATGGCTGGCACGAGACAAATGCTTTGCCATTGCACCTGCAGGGGTCCACATGATCAGCAGGAAAAAACCTGTGGCCAAATTTTGTGGAAATTAGCTTGTCTGTTCAGTAAGGCTCCTCCGTTGTTCAAGATGCAAATACCGTAAATAGCATCACTTTAACCCTCTGGAGTACTGCTGGAAGACACATCTCCACAGTTGCAACTGACCTTCTGTTGCATGAATGAAAGCCAATCCTAGCATTCTTGTGGGTGGTGGTGGTGGGAACAATAACTCTCAGCCACACTCCAGTTCCTCTAGCATTCAACACAGCATCACATCAGGCAGCATTCAGGCAAGTCACTCAGAATCTGTTTCTTTAAAATCACAGAAATAAGCTGCATGAAACAGCAGTCTTTTGAAAACTTGTCTGAGGAATGCATTGCAAGCCACCCCGAGACGTTCTGTAGGGGACAGGATAGAAACGCTTTTAATAAATAAATAAATAAAATGGAGGCTTGCTGTTAGCTGGGGGATGCTCAAGAGCCTCTGAGGAGCCTGTTGGCGTTCCCCGTGTGTCTTTGCAGCGGGTGATGGATCGTCCACTCTACCCAGTGGCAGAGAGGCTGTGGAGTACCCTGCGCAGGCAACACCCCCAGCGCCTCTGCCTGCTCCTGCCATCCTGGGTTGGGGGTGTATGGAGTACTCCGCCTCTAACCTTGCTGTCTTGACAGGAGAGGCTGGTGCGGCCCCGGCCTTCTGGCAAGCTGGCCAGCACCGAAGGAGCGCAGAGGTGACTGGCCACAGCAGATGACACGGTGGGCTGCCGCCAGCTACTTAACCTGCAAACTGATGCACAAAGTCATTTCTGCTGCACAGCTGCCTGAACAATACATTTGTCAATTAAGTTAATACAATTAAATCCCTTGTATCCAACGGAAAGGGCAGCGCAAATCCAGGTGAAGGGAAGGAGGGAATCTTAACAGTCCTCTGATGCATCGCCCCTCGGAAGAACAAAGGCAGGGGAAGAGCATTATGAAAACAGTGAAATCCACTGTTAATTAATGTGGAGGTACCAGGAGGCTTATTTATAGCTCTCTCCATGGCACCAGGGAGGATAAATTATAAGTCAGTCAGCCAGTGCGGAACTTGGGACTGCACTCGGAAAACATCCCCTGCCTCTCTGCTGTTTAAAGCATGCATGCACCTTACAGTGGAACGGGCAAGGTCTTCATTTATGCTCCTTTTAACACTCAGCATCAGGCTAGTCCAAAGCACCTCCTCCCTCCCCAGTAAGGTTCCTTGTATTTATTATTTCCAAATCATTGCTAGGCAGGTAATTATTAAACTGAAATAAGCAGGATGTTTTTCATCAATAACATCAAATAGCAGTTCAGGAAGAACATATTACTGAGCCAGTGTATGCAGACTTCTGAGCCTCACAGAACTCTTTACTAGACAGATGAAGAGTTCTACCTGCAAAGCAGCTCAGTATTATTCCCAAATCTTATGCATTCTTCTTTCAATGGAAGCTGGAGCTTTTCGACAATTTTAACAGATTTCAGGGTTTCATATTCCCACCGAGAATTTCTTGCCCACATTTATTATTTTGAAAACTACGTACACAATTCTAATCTAAATTGCCTCCCCCACACCATAAGAAAATCCCATGACTGATTAACACAGGCATCAATCCTCCCTGTAAATAACAGGCTTTGCAATATGTCATAGATTAGTAAACAATCAAATCCTAATCACCCAATTAAAATGAAAACATCTAGAAACGTGTCATCTCATGACCTCATAATTTACTCTGTCTTCTGCTGACATCACGATCTGTGCCATTCCCTGTTCAATGAAGTTACTGAATGAGGCGCTCATCAGTAACAGCATGGAAGTTGGAGGAATGGGAGCAGTGCGGATTATCCCATGGCAGTCGGGGTCTATGGGAATTACCTTTGCTGGGTTTCAATGGCCCTTTAACAATAATGTGACTTGCAGAAGTTAAGCAATTAAACTTTTTCTGTTGCTGTACAGAAACCTAAGAGGAGTCCTGCTGGATCAGACTTAGAAGCTTCTCTTCCTCAGAATTCAATTCCTCCAGTGGGAAGCTCACAAGTAAGGTATGAGTACAACCGCACCCCTGGGTCCATGTCAAGGCGGAAAATTTTGCATCCATGTTGTCTGTATATTAAGCCACAGTTTAAGACAGAAAAGCAAGCGTAAGGTAGTGAGGTGCCCTCTTTTAGAAAGGACCATCCCCTATTTCAGGGGTCTCAAACTCAACTTACCTGGGGGCAGTCTGGGTGAGGCTGGGCCGCATCAAGTATCCCACCACTGCAGTGGGGGTGGGCCGCTCATCCCACGTGGCTCCCGGAGGCCGGCCCAGGCGCCGCCGGCGCTTTGAAGGCCACAGGGCCCCTCCCCCGTGCCCGGCCCGGCCATTGGTCTGCGGGCCGCGAGTTTGAGACCCCTGCCCTATTTGAAGGCATCCTCTTTGTGAAGGGCTGCCCTTTCCAATTCCAATGCAAAGGTAGAGAAGCATGTGAGCTGTCAGCGGTGGGCACACGGATCGCCCGGCTGCAGCCTTCCACACTACCCTGAGAGATGCTTTATTTAGGATGCATGATGTGAATATGTCCTGGATGCCACCACTGCATGCTCCAACTCAGCCGGTTTCTGTTGCCCCAACAGCCCTTTAAAGTGGGGTCGCAAGGATATGAATGCATTGCCTCTGCAGGGACAATGATCTGCCTGTTTGTGTATAGAAGTCTTTGGGGCAAAATGTCTGTTTGACATGAACACACTTTGGCGTGAAGCCAGCCTGATAGGTCCAGCAATTCACAAATGGGGGAACACAGAGATATTAGAAGCCACAGCTCAAAAGTTTAGGGAACGTTGATGACTTTTTCCCAGACACAAACTGTTGCCCTGTCCTTCCTTTTTCCTTAACTAGTTAATGCAAAAACACCTCATTAAAAGCATAACTGCCACTGGTCAGGCCAGCAGACTGAGGGGGTAGGAAAATTAAACAAGAGGAGACGTTCAGTAAATAACCAAGGCAAAATACTTCATGCACAGAAAAGCTGGGGGGAGATTCTAGGGGGAAAAATGCAAAGCCACTAGGAAGATGAGGTGAAGTGCATCAGACGGAGGGGAGGAAGAATGTAAAGTACAAGGATTGCCGATGACAAAAGGAGGTCTGGGATTTTTCTGCTGATTTGTCTCATGTGCAGGGACCTCTGTCAGCTTCAGCAGCTGCAATTAGCACCTGTGAGGCTCTATCCAGAGGAGGTCACTAAAAATGGCAGGCCCTGCACCTTCCAAAAGTGAGGTGGGGCAGGAAAGAGTCACGCCAGTCCCTACATTGCCTGCCACAAGCATTCTGGAGAGTTTGATCCTTCATATGATTGAATGATCTTGTGGAGTGACGGCCTGCAGTTAGCCTTGTGGAATACCAATTACTGCCACCTCAGAAAATCTGCGAAGTACATCAGCTTGGGACCTGCCACTGTGCTCAATTTCACAAGGACTGAAACCAGTAGCAAAGGGGTGTGTGTGTGTGTGGGGGGGCATTATTGTGAAATCTTCTGTCTCAGAGGGAAAGAAATATGAATGAATTCTTTGAGCAAGCTCTTGAATGGAAACAGTAGTTTTCATCCTGTCTTCAGCAGGTTAGGGCTTCTAGAATGAGCCATTTCTGAAAGAGACGCCTAAAATATTCATCCATTTTTAAGATATCATTATTGTTCAGACTATTTAGTGAGATAACTATGAAAATGTTCTTTGTACAAGAGTAATTGGCTAATAAGAGCTAACCCAGCTGCTTGCCTACCAAGCCACTAACCTTGATCTGCATATTGATTAGACATTGTTAGCTGTAAAGCTTCAAAACAAATTGTTTTGATTGGCCATGCCCCAAATTTAGGCTGGGGCCCCATATCCTGTCTGTCTGCTTCTGTAGACCATTTGACCCCTCTGAAAGTGTCGGGAGGAGACACTAGCAAACATTTTGGAGAGCAGGCAAAATCAAAGAACCCTTGGTTAGGCACAAAGAAGTTGGAGGGTTGGGAATGGCCCTGCCTTGTTTGTGAGTAGGTAACCCCCCAAATGGCCTTCATCAAGCTGGTGGTCTCCAGTGGCATTTATCCAAATTTAATAACTAACTAACTAAATGATAAACGCCTCTGGAGGGCAGCAGATTGGGAAAGGCTACCTCAGTATGTTGCTTCCCTGTTCCCTGTGCTCTGTCTCATGCAATCTGAATGAGAGCGTGTTTTCCGGGAATTTCAGTTTTTACTCCTAAACTCACAATTCTAGTGTTCCTATTGCTGAAAATGTGCTTGTACAATCAGGCAAGAGCTCATAACCTTGAGATACCCTTAGGTCTTCCCACTTCTCATCCTTCTTGTACCTCCAGCACATCACTCCTTTCTATATTCCATACCAGGGGTCCTCAGACTTTTTGAACAGGGGGCCAGTTGAAAGGCTGCGGTGACCATCGCAGGCCAGTGAGGTGGGGGCGCCTGGGGGTGTGGGCTGGTGAGGTGTCGTCGGGCGCGTGCGAGGCCGAATTGGGCATGCGTGGCGGTGGCTTGCTTGCTCAGAGATCTCCCAGCAAGTCCAAAACCATCTCCGAGCGAGCGAGCGAGCCACCACCACCTCACCTGTACGGTGAGGCAGCAGCGAGCACATGTGTATGGGAGGCAGGCGGCGCCTCGCTCGCTCGCTCGCTCGCTCGGAGACCGTCTCTGAGCCACCACCGCCCCATCCACGCAGCAAGCGCGCCGTGGCGCAGGCCGGATGGATGGCCATGGTGGGCCGGATCCATCCCGCGGGCCGCAGTTTGAGGACCCATGTTCCAGACTATGAGGGGAGGCTCCCACCCAAATCCTGCCTGGAGTAATCAGTGGATTTAGAGGCCCACATGAGTCCACCATTCCATTCCTCAAGTGTCATCCTGTTCCTTTGTTTGTTTGTTTTTTAAACCCAGATCTTTGTGTGGCTACAAACTGTGGCATTCTGCCAAGTCTGCAGATGCCTGCCTTCTCTGCTGTTTTGATGATGAAGGCAACAGAGGGAGCGCACTGTAATATGGACAATTTTGTTACAAGACGAGGCTTGCTGGAGAAGCACAGCTTCCTGCTCACCACTCATCATTTCACAGGGTTCCCCCTGGCCATGAATACGCGCATGCACGAACACACACACACACGCACACACTCCTTCATCAGCCCTTTCATCCCTAGTTTGGTGCTCAGTTGTTTTTCCTCCCTTCTTCCTTCTCTTTGTCTTCATGCAGTAACCCACGCAACTCATCATCATGCCCGCACTAGCAGACTCCTCAACACCGGAGGCAGGGCCATGGCGAGTGCAGTGGGCACCGTGTGCGAGAGGGATTGTGATGGATGGGTGGATGGATTCGGGGTTAGCTAATGCACGGTGCTTGCCCTGCTTCACTGTCCCCTGTGCGGAACCTTGGTGTTCTAGGGCCGCAGTGGAAGAGAAGGCAATATCAGGGAAAAGGCACACACCCAATCTTCTGATGGCTCCTTAGGCTGAAACCTTAGGCTGGAAGTTGAAATCTATGCCAGGTTTTGGCTGAATCTAAGCAGGCACAGACCACAGCTCCAGGGGGTGAGTTAAGCTATGCGAGAGAGGAAATAAGGCACTGAGTCATGCAAGAGAAGAGATGCAGGGAGACCTGGCCAAAGGCTCAGAAGTTGGGGACCTAAATTGTCAGCAAGAGAAATGAGGAAAACGAAGAACCATTTTTCACAGTCCCCAGGAAGAAAAGGTGCTGGTAGCGAGAAGTAGCAGCCCATATGACTAATTCCAGCTCAGCTTCAAATTAGGCAAGTAAAATACATGCATGTATATATAACTAAGGTACAGGATTGTGTTGGTTTGCCTGGGATTGAAATTCCTTTTGGCACCGAGACTACCCAGGCCTGTCTCATGCAACAAATGTAACAAGCAGGACATCGACACAGCTCCGCAGTGCTCACAGCTCTGTTAATCAGCTTTTGCTGCTTGTACATGTGAAGTGGTTCCTTTTATTGAATTAATAACATCAATTAGGCCATGCATATTAGCATATCACGATGCCTCATGGGTGAAAGACAACAAATGCAACAGTGGTTTTTAAGTTAGGGTTATTATGTTTAACTAGAGAGCCGCATTTATAAGCTCAGCATATTGAAATCAGATTAAGATGAAGTCTGGCAGAATGTTTTTTTCCCAACTGTAGATATTATTAGAAGTGAGTCATCGTTGCCCTGGGCATTAGATCTGCTGAAATTTTAGAGTGAAGTGCAAACGACCTTCCAAAATTCTTGAAGCAGTATAATTTTGCCAAATATTCTTGGGAAATTTCTAACTGTCATATGACAGCAACAGAAATAGTTATAAAAATTGGAAGCTGCCATCTTCCAGATATTTAGGGGTATCTGAGCCTCTTTATACAGCATTATTGTATTTTATGAATTCTTATAAACTTCTGAGAGAGCTTTGGCTACTGAGCACTATATAAATACAATAAACCACAATCTTCATTGGCGTCACCACCACCACCACCATTCTTTTTGTTCTGGTGCTAACACAAACCATTTCTTTGGAATCGTTACTGGAAGCTGTAATGCTACTATTTTAAAAACATCAGGCTGATGATAAAACCAGAAGCTAACCCCCAAATTGGGTTATCTTCTTCATCCACCTTAAAGTGCACCAAAACTTTATGTGCCCTAAAATACATGAATGGAGTGGATGTTTGAAGAGGGAGGGTGCTGCTGCTTTGGCGGGATATGCAGATCTGTACCCATCTGACCAGGCTCAAAATAGTGTTTGCTTCTTACTCTACCCGCTTCCCACTAGGCCTCCCTCCCTGCCTGCCAGCCCTATTTCAATGCACAAGTAAAATGACCTTTGGCAAATGGAGGAAGGCTCATGGTGACACGCTCCTGCTGGGTCAGGGCCAGTATTGAGATAGCTAGTCTGCATTAAGTACCAGAATGCTGCTTTTGAGCATGAGACCATTTCAGGGGTGGGCATCAATGCGCCAGTGACATGCTAAGCAATGGCATGCTAAACTACCAAGGCTTTGAAGCCATGGTGGCTTAGCGTG